GGGGGGTATAGGGCCTACGATACCCCTCTTTGAAAGGGTAGTTTGGGATGAAAAAATTAAGTAGATCAAATTCTGATTAAAGTGATGCCAACCTATAGATCTATGTCTCACGGCATTTGTGCCTATTAAAGGCACAGGATTTTTTAATAATTTTTTTTTTGAGAGACAGAAGCTGGGCCTATAGATCTAATCTTATTCATGTACATGTCCTAAGGACCCCTTTGATACCATTGTTGGTTTTGACAATTTAAATGTTGTTTGCTTTTTTCTTGGGATATTCCGGTTTTGACCCCATCGTTTACTATACTTCCCAGCTGTAATCCTACCCCTAACCCATATAAAGTTACTATTGATATTTCATTACTTTTTAGAGCCAAAGCCGTATACTGTCATTTGTTCAGCCGGTAAAAAAAAACGCCCTAATAACTTAAGCAGGAAAGCTTTATACCTATAGTATTCTTTTTTTTTGGGGGGGGTGAAATATTTTCATTATAGGCCTATAATTGGGTATAATATATTTTTTGTTGCTTTTTTTTCTTACAAAGAGTTACAAAGCCGGTTTGTAAGAATGCTGCTCCACAATAAGAACGAGGCCTAGGCACTCTACTAAGCAATACCCTGGGTGTTGAGCATGGATTTTGGAAGAAGGAAAGTAATATTTTAGGAGGTCATTTTATTATTGGAAGTGATTATAACAGGCCTAGATAATGAGTCTCTGATAATGATAATATGGAGGGATAACTCACGATGAAAAGTAAGCCCTAATATTGATACTGGGCCTAGGCTTTCTTGGCCCTATCACTACTAGCCTATCACTATCAGTGATAAACACAGAATTCAATTCTGTGGTGATAAACTATGATTCAATTGTTGCCCCTTGATTGAGCCGAGCACACAGAATTCTACACTTAGTGTAGAATTCTGTGGCCGAGCATAACTTCTAGCAATGATGGTTATACGTTATGTACTATCATTGCTTTGCTTCTAGTGATGGGCCGATACCACAATTTAGGTATCGATGTCGATACCTAGTACTTTTTCAAGGTATGGATACCAACACCTGGATACCTTATGCTATTTGTAACACACGCCGGGGGCAAGGAGTACTGTATTGTACTCCTTGGCCGGGGGTAATAAGTAAAGACAAAAATACAACTATACTTTTCCAAGTATTTAGGTAATCGTGTCTAGACAAGTTGTGACTATTTAGCTGAGACTCAAACAAAAATTATTTGTAAAAGAGAGAGAGAGAGAGAGAGAGAGAGAGAGAGAGAGAGAGAGAGAGAGAGAGAGAGAGAGAGAGAGAGAGAGAGAGAGAAATAAATATCCAAATATGAGAATAAAAACAAAAACTAACTAAAGTGTGGGAGGAAAGTCAACTTTGCAGAAAATGTTAGTACTGTATTGGAAAATAAAAACACAAGAGTTCTAAAAAGGCAATTCAATTTACCCGATTTTTAGCAACTTTAAATTAGACCAATGAAGATAAATCAGGGTTGTCAGTGAGGATTTTGCAAAATCACTAGATAGATTTCATGAAAAACTTCTCTCTTTTTGTTAAAAAAATCACTAGATTCATTTAAAACGCTTGCCCCCTACGGAAACTTATCAGTTTTGATACCCAAAAAATTCTCAAGGCCCAAGTCACTTGCTTTGGCAGCCCTGGGATAAATAACACATATGTATCAATGTTTAGTGCAGGCAAAGATAGTACATAACGAGATGGGCCACTTTTCTCGTTGAGCCAATTAAAAAAGTGTCCTCAAAATTTGGTGGCGCCCTCTTCACAAAAGTGCACTCTTTGCGAACAGAGTTAGCCTACCCTACTTGAGTTTTAAAAAATCAAAGTGAAACTAACAAGTTTTGGGATACATTTCGGAAGAACGCTTTTTTTTAATGGTTACGCTGACAAAAAACCTCTTCCGGAGGAAAGGGTGATGGTTTTCTTCGTTTAATTTGACTTTAGAATGAAAGGCGAGAGGTCATTAAAATTTAAAAAACCTAAAACTCCGCACTGAACGTACCCGAACTGCTGATGAACAGCACGACCTGGACGTGTAGAATTCTGTGATCTGCGCACACAAGGAGGTGCTATTCCTATTCTTCTTCTGGAAGAACGAAAGAGAGCTTCAAAACAGACTGCAGCGCCATCTGAAGCAAAGAGCATACTTCCTGCGGACACTTTTTTGGCTGAGTGGCCCATCTTGTTATTTACTATCTTTGGTGCAGGTATCGGTACTGATACCGATACCTATAGATATCTAAGTTACTATCTTTGTCCAATGATAGTACATAACAAGATGGGCCACTTCTCTCTTTGAGCCATTTAAAAAAGTGTCCTCAAAATTTGGTGGCGCCCTCTTCACAAAAGCGCACTTTTGCGAACAGAGTTACCCTACTTGAGTTTTAAAAAATGAAAGTGAAACTAGCAAGTTTTGGGATAAATTACGGAAGAAAACGTTTTTAAAATGGTTACGCTGACAAAAAACCTCTTCCGGAGAAAAGGGTGATGGTTTTCTTCGATTAATTTGACTTTAGAATGAAAGGCGAGAGGTCATTAAAACAAAAAACCCTAAAACTCCGCACTGAACGTACCCGAACTGCTGATGAACAGCAGTCGATCTGCGCACGCAAGGACGTGTTATTCCTATTCTTCTTCTGGAAAAACGAAAGAGAGCTTCAAAACAGACTGCAGCGCCATCTGAAGCAAAGAGCATACTTCCTGCGGACACTTTTTTGGCTGAGTGGCCCATCTTGTTATTCACTATCTTTGCTTTGTCTAAGTATCGAGTATCTAGTATCGATACCTGCCATCACTAATAACTTCCCCTTCACAAGAGAGAGTTCCGCGAGAGAGATCAATGATCATGGCCGAACCCATGGCGAGCATGGAACACCAACAGCATTTACAAATCACCTTTTTCACAAAGCAAGCTCAGTAAGTTACTTGGTCTATTTTTTGTTTGTTTTTTGTTTGTTTTGTTTTTTTACAGATGTATAAATGTTGGTATAATTTTATCACTCAGTGAACATACGGTTGTTTCTTTCTTCGAGCTGTACAACTTAACTTTTAGTAGTTTTAGTTTTAGGCCAGGCTGGCTAATAAGGCTAAAGTAGGCACTTGGATAAAAATTTCAAAGCTTTCAAATTGCTTTAAAAACAATACCAATGCAAAGAGCTCAGTGACACGATTCCAACGCTACCTTAGTTATTGCTCTATGTTGAACCGTTTTTGAGATATTGCATTTTAAAGATCTTTTCGAGGGGATAACATCTATATAGAAAAAAAAGGCAATTTTTGTGATCGAAACAGCAAGGACAATAAGGGAAATGTAAGCTGCTTCAATATGCTGCTGCGTACATGCTAAAACCAAACATTTTCTGAAACCTTGTGATATTGAGGACAAAATAACAGTCAGACGATATTTTTAAAATATGTCGTGGTGGGTAATATTGGGTAATATTATGTAACACTGTGTTGTGTAACGTGACCGCATCGTCCTGCGGTCAATATATTTTGCCATAACTTTCTTATAAATTAAGCTACATCAATAATTGAGGTATCATTTTGAAGGTCTTTTTAAGGCCTTTCTTTTGGAACATCTACAGATCAAATATCAGTAGAATTAACAAAAAACTGATTAAAAAATATAATATATTTTAACAAAACAGCTGGTCGCCTAAAATAAGATGAGCATAGAAGTTTTTAAAGTTAACATTTGTGTCTACAGCTGCTGCAAACTAGTGTTTTTTAGTCTACCTTAATTCATGATAATACTGTTTTTTAAATTCATTTTGCATGTTATTGTTAGAATGTTTCTTTCATGTTTTAATTTGTCATGTAAATGATCAATTACTCTGTCTTTATCTTTGATTTCTCTTTTACATCTTTAACTCATGAGATTGCCCTGTAAGTTAAACAATAGTCTCTTCTAATTTTATTACTTCAGTTTGTTCAGCAAGTTTTTCATTATATTTTTATTGTGTTTATTTAAATGTTCAACTTCTTCAAAGACAATTAGTTGTGAAATATGACATGTTTTTTGAAGCACGCAATTGTGTCACAATACTTATTTATTCTTTCTTTATTTCTGGCAATTGTTTAGTTCACCCAGTCTGCCAACTTGATATTGTTAAATTAATGTCAATTTTTTTTTTCTTGTCTGCAACAAATGCTTTCTTAAGTGCTCAATTTTTTTGCAACTTGTTCAAACAAGTTTTTCTGTGAATTCGACCAACTCCGCAAGCATTTCTGGATTTTAATTAAAGTCAGGATTTATTCTGGTGAGCTGTCAATAAATCCAATGGAACAGTGGCAGGTTGTGATCAGGGGCTGTGGAAAGAAAAAAAAAAGCAAAGCAATGAATTCATCAATGAAGTAAATAAATTCATTTGTGAGCAGTGGATGGAAATTTGACATTTTCACACTACAACTCTAGTAAAGGGAGAGTGTAGATGACTAGACAAGAGAAAAAACATCTTCTAATAAACATGTATCTTAAAACAAACTGGACAAAGTACATGAAAATTTAAAGAGATATTTAAATAACAAGCACACACAAAAACAATTAAGAAGAAAAAATATTTAAAGACAATATAAGCACACAAAAGAAGTAAAAACTTGCGTGAAATCGATGGTCTAACAGTGAGAGTAACACAGAAACAAAACAAGGCCAAGGCTGTTACATTTCCCTCCCCCCACCCAAGACTCCTTACTGATTGTTACATGGTGCAAATTCATAAAAATTATACAACAGTGATACATATTACATTCCAAAATTTAAAATGAATCATATCTTCTACTATAAAACATTCTTCAATGCCGTTTAAGAGGTAATAAACGCCAACAACACACGTTAGCGTGGGTTAAGTTCGCTTTCCGCAATGGCCGCCATGACCTCCCGGTTCACGCTCAGCAGCGCGATCGATAATAGGTCATGCCCATTCATGGAGAGTGACCTATTTAAATTAGGGCTCACACGCTTATGCCTCAACGTACAACATTGAAATTAACAAATAAAAGAGATAAAAGGTTGAAGAAAAGACTGTGAGGAGTACCTAAAAAAAAAAAGATATACTCTTTAAATATAAAGGCTTGAACTTACCTTATTTTTAACTCCTTGTAACTCCGAACACACACAACCGATCCCGAAGTGGAAAACGCCATAATACGCGCCTTTCTTTCCTCTTTAATTTGATAGGCGGAAGTAATCCATAAATTGAAAAGAACACTATAAACGAAACAAAACAAATAGGTACCCCCCTCACGGGGCCCGATTTCTGACACAAAACGCGGCGGCCGCAGGTGAACGAAAATCTCGGGCCGCGCGGGCCGATATCCAAGTGCCTAGCTAAAGGCTAAAAGCGCTTGCTAAGGCTAAGACTAAGCCAAGCTCGGTGCTTTTTCGCATATTCGGTAGCTTAGTGGCTTAGTTAGCCTTAGTTCCCACCCCCCTTATTTGAGCCTAAAGATCTAGATCTAGCTGGATCTAGAGATCTAGACTATGTTTGATGCGCGGCAAGCTAAGTAAGATATCGGGAGGACTTCTGTGTAACGAGCGACCACTATGACATGAGACAGTAGAACAGAATTGAGGGCTAGGGGTAGGGGTAACATGCCGTTAAACGTAGAAAAGATGCATCTTTCTGATTGGCTGCTAATTTTAGTGGAAGTGGCTATTCTCATCCGGGGTGAGAATAGAAAAACGATCTGAAAGTGGCTATTCTCACTCGCCCGGAAGTTCTCGCAAGATCTACTCCTCCCCTCTTCTCTCTCTCTGTGTCTCTTTCTGAATACTGTCTATCGGTGTGGACGATCAAATTGACCAAAACAAAGTTAAAAAATGATGTTAGAACACAAAAGTAAATTAATTTGGTTGTCTACAAAGATGCTACGGCTATTTAACTTTTCGAATCGAGCCGAAATACGCGGGTCGCCATTTGGTTTTGTTCTCTCTCTTTCTCTCTCTCACTCTCTCTCTCCACTGCCCACAGACAAAATTGTACGCTTTTAGTAGGACAAGTACAGTTGTAATGGAATGTTTGTTCACAGCACAGAATTCTACAATTTTTCTGTTATCACAGTGTAGAATTCTGTGGTTTAGGGTGAACGCAAAATTTGTTGGCCTAGATCTAGGCTATAACGGTGAACGCGCACCGGGTGAGAATAGCCAGAAGACTCGCCTGCACTATTCTCATTCCGGGTGAGAATAGAGGTGGCCAAACGATCTACCTCTCACCCCGGGTGAGACTTGCCAGCCTGAGCGTAGTCTATTCTCACCCAGTGCGAAACAAGACCTGCTTTTCCTCATTTTGGAATACTGTCTATCGGTGTGGATGATCAAATTGATAAAAGCCAAGAAAAAATTACGTTATAGCACAAAAGTAAGCTAATTTGATCGTCTTTGACCGGAAATTCTCGCGCTACTCCTCTCTCTCTCTCTTTCTCTCTCTCTCTCTCTCTCTCTCTCTCTCTCCACTGCCCACAGACAAAATTGTACGCTTTTTAAGCTTTTAGTAGGCTACAGTTGTAATGGAACGTTTGTTCACGGCACAGAATTCTACAATTTTTCTATTATCACAGTGTAGAATTTTGTGGTATAGGGTGAACACAAAATTTGTCATCACTCTCTGAGATACCCACATGGAACGACATGTTTTCAGTAACATTTCGGATTTCCTAGATCTAGATCTAGATATGTATATATATATATATAGATTCTAGATCTAGTCTAGATTAGATTTAGAAATGGAAGTGGCTATTCTCACCCGGGGTGAGAATAAAAATACGATCTACCTCTCACCCCGGGTGAGACTTGCCAGCGTAGTCTATTCTCACCCGGTGTGAAACTAGACCTGTTTTTCCTAATTTTGGAATACTGTCTATCGGTGTGGATGATCAAATTGATAAAAGCCAAGAAAAAATTATGTTATAGCACAAAAGTAAGCTAATTTGATCGTCTTCAAAGATGCTATGGCTATTTCACTTTTCGAATCGAGCCGAACTACGCGGGTCGCCATTTTGTTTTGCCCGGAAGTTCTCGCAAGATCTACTCCTCCCCTCCTTCTCTCTCTCTGTCTCTTTCTGAATACTGTCTATCGGTGTGGACGATCAAATTGACCAAAACAAAGTTTAAAAATTATGTTAAAAAACAAAACAAAATTAATTTGGTTGTCTACAAAGATGCTACGGCTATTTAACTTTCCAAATCGAGCCGAACTACGCGGGTAGCCATTTTGTTTTGCCTCGAAGTTCTCGCACTACTCCTCTCTCTCTCTCTCTTTCTCTCTCTCCACTGCCCACAGACAAAATTGCACGCTTTTAGGCTAACACTAACAGTAGTAACTTAATAGATCTAGAACGTTTGTTCACAGCACAGAATTCTATAATTCTGTTATCACAGTGTAGAATTCTGTGGTTCAGGGTGAACGCTTCACTGGTTGGCCAAGGCTATAATGGTGCACGCCCACCGGGTGAGAATAGCCAAAAGACTCGCCTGCGCTATACTCACCCCGGGTGAGAATAGAGGTGGCCTTTAGAAATCTAGATTCTAGATCTAGATAGTAGGCCTACTTGGACATGATGGAAGACCGCACGGAAATTGACGTAAAGACACAGGAGGATTAAATCTAGATTTGTTCTAGATCTAGATATCTTCTAGATCTAGATATCTAATTCTAGATCTACCACCCCTCCTGCATTTTTAATCACTAATATATTTAAAAAGAGAAAGAAAAAAAAACTTCAATGCAGCTCTACAAATTAGGCCTATAATTTATGCGACTGTTGGTCAGTCGGGGGGAGGAGAAGAGAAGAAAAAAACTGACCGGGATCGAACCGCTCCAAAAATAATTGCACGACTTCCGACACAGACGCGCTGTCTATTCAGCCATCAGAACTTCCGAGAGAAAGGTGTAGATTAAGCACCATATACATAG